CATTTGCTTTTCATTGGAAGGGTGGTAATCTTCTTGATTTTCCCACAGAAATCAAGTGCTGTTAATTTACTGTGAGTGTTTCTTTCCTTAGCTAAACCCAAATATTCTTCTCCATAGGACTCATTTGAGTATGGTGACTTTTTGCATTTCACGGTTTCACCAGCTTCTTCTTTCTCAAACAGATAGATGGATGTCTTTAAACTGTCTGAGCATGCAGATACTGGTATTCCAAATATAATGGGCAAAGTATAAAGAATGATTATTTGAAATTTTGTTGCTAAGCTGTGAACTACAGGAAAGCCAGTCCCTGACACCAAGGAGAGAATCTGATCATATTACCAGTAACAGAATAGCTGTATGATGGGTAAGGATTAGCTGACAATTATAGTGGAACTGGAAGACCAACTTAAGTGAGCAAAGTGGATTCCAGTAAATAGAGTGGCACCTAAAGTCAGTAAAATATCTTAATTGTAAATTAAAGCTGGATGTGCAAAAGTGCAAACATGAGAGCTCTGAAAGGAAATGTGAGGAAACTGTAGCACCTGACAGCAGGCTAGTTTCTTTATATAAGGAATATCCCTCGTGCACAGGGGAATGTCAAATCAGAGGGATCTGTAACAGCAGGATGTAAACTGTACAGAAAGGAGAGTTTCAGCTGGGGATAGGCATGACGATGTAGCAAAAAATAGATTCTAATAATGTAATATCTCAGTGTGGAAGTTATAAAAAGAAATCTAAAATCATTATTTTAGAACTACACTTGTCCATAACATTCAAATATCATCAACTGTTTGATCTTCTAGAAAGCAGCTGACTGAGAAGCAGTAATGATGGGTGACTTCATCTTGTCTGTAGGCAGGTGGTGTCTTTCCAAATTTCCCAAACAGTTTCCATACTGTGGAAGCTGTTGTTCAGACCTTTTGTGGGAAGGTTGTCGCCTCTTCTTCATTTTGGTCCCCATTTGTAGGGCTATGCCTTCTCTGTTTGCCCTTTGAAAAGTAGAATTGAAGACATCATTGATTAGACAGGCACTCCTTTAATTTTATTGTTTATGACCAGTTTCAGATCGAGCGGCAGGCCCAGTGAGAGGTGATGCATTTTTACAGCATTGCACCTGGTCCTTGTTCTGAGGAGTTACCAGGGTGAAGAGGTAGCCCTGCAAGTGCCAGTGTGGATAGAAATACAGTACACAGTTATGGGTGATGTTACAACTCTCCATATTGGCAACTCAGAAATAATAAACGAAATTATAATTAACTGCAATTAACTGAACAACTGCCTATGTACAATGAAGTTTATGTTTAATTATAAACTTCAAATTTTGATCATATGTTCCTAGATCACACCTTTTCTGTGGTATGTTATCAGACCTATTTATTAATGACATTAAAAGAGTTATATTTCTTGTTCTTCCTTATCAATAAGCAAATGTACCTAGTCAATAATTCATGTTGCAGTTTACTCAATAAATTGAGAAATGCTGTCTTTTCAGAATTGCATCTGATCCAGTAAACCAAATTATATAATAATAAAGTATGTCATCAATGTAAACAAATACCAGATGGGTGGTAAAACATTTAATTTTAGATCAGTGCAAATAGACTTAGATAAACACTGCTGTGGCATATTGTCAGTCACTAGTAAAGCTCGAAAAGGGATTCCCACTGTGGGTCCCTGTTATAAGTAAAAATGAAATTGAGTTGAAATGTAGTAATAAAAATTTATTGAAGATTTATATAAAATGCAAATAAGTAAAACAGTATGCTGGCCGGCCGGGGAGACCCCTGCTCCACTCATGGTGCGCAAGTGCAGTAAGTAAAAACAGTAACTTTTATTTCCTTATTAGTTTCCTTCTCATAGTCACTTGTTATTCTTCTATTGGATTTGAGTTTGCAGGTTTGGTTCTGGTTGGTTTCTCTGCAAGTCCGTTTTAGTTGCCAGGTGCTTTCTTGTCCATAGTTTTAATTAATCTTTAGTCCTTGAAGCTTGGTGTGTTAGGTATTTCCAGAGGTCCATTTTGGATTCTTTGTATCGTTTTAGTTTTTGACCCTTTGATCCTTGTCCCGCCTTTCATTATTTTATGCGTGCAGAGACAATAAGCTTTTTAGAAAAATAAGATACAAGAATACTTACTCAACAAGGCATAGTAATTTGTCTTTCTAGTTTAAGAACTGCGAGCTGCATGCCTATCAGCTTGCAATGTTGATAGATTAATGAACCATTCTACAACTTACAGTCCCCTAACCTTAACAGAACAGTGATTATAATAACATATATTTGTATATAAGAATATAACATCTACTACAATTTAATGAATAAGTTGCTATTACTAATATGATGAGTAAATTTAAACTATTACCACTACTACTTATTACAGTCCGTATTCTGAAGGATTCCACCTTCATGTTTGTTTTTCTCTTGCTGTAAGTGTTTAAGGCTTGCTCTCTTTAGCCCCATTTGCTCCTTGTTAGCACGCTTTCAGACCCAGTGTGCTGGCATGGGGGCGTTTCAAAGTGTGACAATACAAGCCAGCAAGGTTTGATGAAAATAGATGATCCCAGAGAAGGTACTCGGAGAGAAGGTCTGTGAGCCTGCTGAGACATGGGCGCTGTGGAGGCTGGGCTGCTGCTTTGTGTTATTTGGGAAGTGGGCTTATCTCTTTTTTTTATTTTCTCACCCTGAAGGGGTGGATATTGTTACCTGTGCCAGAACTAGCTTCCTTCAAGATGGATGTACATAGTTTTTTACTCCTAAGATGCAAATGCCTTCCCTACAAGAGTCTTTCAGTTGTGGTCGGTTCAAGATGAAGTTCCAAGTGTGTTTGCATTATTGAATTGTAAGGCTATGGGGTTGGTGTTTTTTTGTTTTGTTTTGTTTTGTTTTTTGTTTTTTTTCTTCTATGCAGTTAAAATCCAAAGGCTGTTGTTCTGTATTTGAGATATCTGCTAGCACTGCTATAATAAAGTTTTCTAATTGTGTGTATCTTATCTCTAGGGACATGGTTTAGTGGTGGATTGGAGGTGTGAGGTTTGTGGTTGGGCTCTATGTTCTTAAAGCTTATTTCCAACCTAAATAGCTCTATGATCTGCATATGTGTCTGTGTTCTGTATTAATTTATAATAGTAAATAAATTCAAATTTAAATTTTGAAGTGTATTTGCTAAAATATCATCAAAAGCTTTGCAGAAAGCATGAAGTGTAGTTATGTTTTTCATATTAAATGCACTAAAATCAAACCTTACCTAAATACAGAAACACTACACACCAATGACATGCAAATATACTTAATCTTGAATGCACGACAGAAACTTTCTTTCTAGATGAAAATGTCTCCCAACTGTGGATATGAATTAGAATTATGTAGCAGAAAACTAATACCTTATTTACAAAAAAGTGTATTTTCTTGATTTCTTCTTCTGGGAATTAATTTAAATAAGGAAAAACACCTGTCATCTTGTCTGACAGCTGATGACAGCATCAAAATCACTGAGTGACTAAGATGACAAGCTATTCCTACACATCAGCACATCAGGCTTTTATTGCTCTCTTGGGTATACGAGAAACTTGTATTAAGTGGTGTTTAACAAGGACTCACTCTGTTTGTCAGTTCTGTGACACAGTTTATATGAAGGAAGGGGTAACGTCCCCATGTCAGCTGAAGATGAGAAGATTGCATAGATACTGTCTGTCTGAAACTTGTCTGTGGAGATGCAAACAAATCAAAGGGCATGTTTTTTCATCACACTTCCAGATGGGGATTAGGCAAGTTTATGTAAAAATTCATGCATTGTTAGTCAGAAACTGATTGTTCAGATTTAGGAAGAAATTTTCTTATGAAGAAATAGAGCTTTCTTTTTTTTTTCCTTAAATCAAATGAGTTACTGTAGTTTTGTCGCTGTCATGTTTAACTACAGTGACTTTACAACAATGTAGTATTGAATAGGGAAATTTCTAAAAGCACTGTGAAAACTTCCCTTCAGTATGAAACTTGCCTTTCACATATTCAAAAGTTTTTGGAAATTCATCACTTTGTTTCAGTAAAAAAACATTATATTCTCTGATAGTCTCAACGTTGCCTTCAGACAAAGTCCAGTAATCCATTCCTCAGCAACTGATAAAGTAAATGGAAATGGGATGTGTTCTGTGGCCATTTTTAAGCATTTTTTCAGGAAGATCTCAGCAAGATATGCTTTCTCACGGTGCCCTGCACCAAGGGGTTTTTTCCAAGTTAAGTTGGCACTAAACTGCTCTGCTCCAGGTTCTGAATGGAGCCAAGTCTGAACTACAAATTTTCCTGTGGCACAGTCATATCTTAAAGTTGAAGAATATGAAAAAGCCCTAGATTTTTACAGCCTTTTCCAGGGGATTTAGGGTTTCACTAAACAAACTTAATACTAAAGAATTAGAATTCACTGAAACAGTATAATTAGAGTTCAGCTGCAAATCCAGGTTTGCACTTTTCACTTAGGTGAGCGGGCTGATCTTTAGAAAAAAAATTGACATCCTGAGTTTATTACCAGAAAAACAGTCACAAAAATACTATTCTGTGTGATTTTTCTCATGCCTCCATGAAGAGACTTTGGCAGAAGCTGCAAAAGAAGTTTCTTGCTACTCATTATGTCATATATTAATCTTGAACATATGCTCTGAGTGGGTTTGAAATTACTTAGATTTGATTTTTTGTTTATGTTTGTTATTGTGCAGTAATCCATAGCACTGAAAACATGTCATAAAGAAAACTGTGCAGTAGGGTATTAGTGGGAGAAATATTTCAAAACAGTATTTTTAATATGTTGCTAAATCTCTATGGTGACTGGCATATTTATTTGATTTGTAATGCATTCTCTTTGTTTGCCCATATTTGCCTCATCATTTCATATTGCCAGGTATTTGGTTAATGTTATTATTTTGCACTTGAAGAAATTATGATGGGATTTTGAATGTTACGTGATTTTATATTTTTCTGGTTTTATTAATATAAGTATTTCTTTTTTCCTCTAGAAAGGTCCTAAAGGAAATCTCAATTGGAGACCTAAAACCTAATGAAACAGTTGAAGCAAATCTGGAAGCACAATTACTCTCCAAATTAGACCATCCAGCCATTGTCAAATTTTATGCAAGCTTTGTGGAGCGAGATAGTTTCTGCATCATCACTGAATATTGTGAGGTGAGACTCAAGAAATTTGACAAAATCTGGCAATTTTAAAAAAATGTTTTAGTTTGAATTTTAGGCTTTATTTGTTACTTATGGTATCACCTGCTATTAGTTAGGTGTATTTCAGATAAGCAGTGTTAGCCACTGAAATGAGACTCATAGATCACAGCAAAACAAACCAGAGAAGAGTAAATAGGTAATTTTCAGTCCAAGTCTTTTTTGTGTGTTATAATCAGTATTACAAGGAAGAGTTAAATGTAGATCTGTTACACACCTGTAGGAGAACTCAGAAAGGTTGTACCACATGTGTACTGCTTATAGGTAAGAGGAGGAGACTGGGAGTTTGGGGGCATGATATGAAATGTGATATAAATGAGGAAGAGAAAACTCAGGGAAGGGAAAGGGAAAATTTATCATTTGGTGTTGATTACAAGAAACTTAAGCTTGTTCACATGGATGATGAGATTGGTAGCAACATTGGCTCTGTGAAATTAAAAATAGTGTTAATCAAAGACCAGAGTGTAGTGGATACAAAAAATATTAAAGCAGGATATATTTCAGTACAGTTACCATTCATTTTTCAACTCCAGCATGTGGTTTAAAAACATGTTGCTGAAATCTGTCTTAGACTTTAAAATAAGAATTTAAAAATATTTAAGCCAGCTTTTTAGGAGTTTATGTAAAACAAGTGCCTACTTTGTATTAAATATAGATATGCTCTTAAAAAAATAAATCTGTCATACATGAAATGATCTTTTATGAAACTGTGAAGCAAACTCTTCAGTTGTGCTCTGCTAGACATGCTGAAATGCTTTGGGAGCTAATGATCTTTATGCTACTGGATCGCCTGTCCCCAGACTTGACTTAACTAATCACATTTCTTCAAGAACTTGGCTTTGGTGGGAATAATTAAGCAAGTACTGTGCCTACAGTTATTTCTTTCTTAGAAGCTTTATTTGAGGACAGTTAAATCCCTATTTATTCCTGGGATTTTTAAAATTTGAATCTGAAGTATTCAATTCTGTGATGAAATCGTAGTATTTGTTTACATATTACTTAACACCCATGCAGAAGCTCTTTGTGTCATTCCCTGAATGTCTGATAGCTGAGGCTTGAGGGTATTGCCAACTCCTTGAGGAAGTCCAGAGCTCAGAACTGAAGGATTATTCTAACTGTCCAGCTATTCCCATACACTCATAATTTTCTCTCTACTGATGGTACAAAGTGGCCCAACGTCAGATAAGTTAAACATGTAGGAATAAAGGAGACTATTTCAGCAGCATTATATGAATTTTATCCACTGGTTTTCCACTCTTTTCTTTTTTTCTTTTTTTTTTTTTTTTACTTCTTTTCATCCAGAATAAAATTATAGGTGAATAAAAAAGAGCATGATAGCGATCACAACCATCACGCCTTGGAGGTTTGGGGTTTTATTCAGGCAATATAAACTACGCTGCATGAAAACCTTTTGGTACTGAGCTACCCTAGGATCTGAGAGTCATATACTCAAGTGCATGAGAATGTATTAGAGCAAGTCAAATGAAGGAGGAGGAAATAGATTAACTGGCTATGCACTGAATCTCTTCAGTTTTGAGTCTGCTGAGTCAGGTCAGAATGATATTTGGTCCAATAGGATGTGCTTCTGACTTTTTCCAAAAGGACACATTATGTGGTATGATTGCATTTAAGCAATTACAATATATTTCATCAGATGTTCAGGCAAGAAAGGTATAAAGCAAAGTGGCACACAGTGCTGTAAAGTTTCTTTCCTATTTTAGTGGGAGTATTTTCAGAAGGTATACTTTTGTATTTGCTTATCTATAACTTGCCTTTGTATGTGGTGGGATTTGAGTCTTTTGACCTAGAAGATGCTTGGTTAAACCATGCATAAATTGAGAATGAGAAAAATGTTTTGCTACCTGATGTTGTTTGGAAGTCTAGTAGGTTCAGTTTCTCATGCATAGAATAATTACCAGATTGGCAGTAATTGGTACTCTTGGGCAGACTCAAAACAAAGAACAGACATTAAGTTGGCATGGAAACAGAACTGCCCTCTGAGCCTTGCTCTGCTTTCTCCAAAGTACTGTGACTTATTCATTAGCCAGGGTGCTTTCTTCATTCTTGCATGAGTAGCATATAGTGAGCCTCCAATGCAGCTGCCCCACGCTATACTTGTCCTGTGAAAGAAAAAAAAGACAGCACTGGACTCCATTGCTCAGCTTGACATCTTTTATTACAACTGAATTCACTCAAAATTATAGAAAAGAAGTATATGTGTTCTGTTTTGATCTTCTTGTGGAGCTTCTTTGACAGTTTCCCCCAATCAAAATGTTATGGGTAACATAAACATTGTCAGCTAAAGCAGATTTCAAACAAAAATGTCTTAATGAACCTTGGATTTCATTTTGTAGTATAAATTGGACTTCAATAAAATACAGTTTTTACAAAGTGGTTACTTTAAAAGTTGCATCATTTTAATATATTATAAACCAGAACTGGTTGTGTTTTTCCCCAGACAATTATTTATGTCTCTTCACTGTGGTCTCAGCTGTGATGTGAGTACACATATGCTAAGAAAATCTGAGCAAAAAGAATAACTAAAGCAATCAATGCTTGTTCACGTTACCAGCTCTAGATGCTAAGCTTTCTTAAATAAGTTACTGGTGTGTTTGAGACTCTTGATATTTAAATAGAAACTGCACCTTGAAAACTCCATATATACTCTAATTGTGAAATTGTTGAATTCCTTATGAAGTTCATTATACTGACCTTCTAAAGTGCAAATTGGATTAACAAATTTTTTCAGAGTTTCACAACAGCAGTATTTCAGCAAGTCTTTTATGATGTGTTTTTGTTTTCCTTTTTTTTAGACGCAAAATCAAGGTTAAATTTATTGTAGGACATTGAGATCACTCTTCTCTTCTTGAAGGTAAAAAGCCATGCAGTTAGGTGAGGGCACATGTGGTGCATTACCAAACTGCTTTAGTTCTCCTTTGACCTTTTGCAGGAATTGCCTCTCAGCTTCAGAGTATTCCTAACTCTGGAGGTCCTGCACTTATTTTCTTTGCATTTTTCATTCCAATATGTTGTTGTGAGAGGGGCCACATTGGGACAGGGAGAAATGCTGATTGGAGCCTGCTGCACTTCATTTATCCTCATCTGGATAGTACAAAGTCCCCTGTGGCCAGTAGCACAAGTTTGAGCATCCCCTCAGTTTTGGGCAATTTTTACAGTTGGGTATGGATGGTCTGGGGATTCTGTCTGGAACAGGTGAGTCATTATTTTTGAGGTGTGTGAGTAGGCTCAGACACAGCCCATTTAGCTGCCGTGCAGCAGAGTACCCAGCATTTTTCTTTCTTCTCTCTGCTTTGCTGCAAGCAGCCACGGGGGAAGCTGTTGAACATTTGGAGTTGCAAAGGGGAAGCAGCTGCTGGGAGCTCCAAGTTCCCAGAAGAGCTTCTCTCTGGGCTGCAGCAGGGAGGCAGATGGAGAGTTGAAGCCATATTCCCTTCCCTAGGGAATGAGATTATTCAGACATTTCAGTTAAAAATTGCAGGACGTTGTCAGGGGCAGACGTTTTTGCTGTATGACCAAATACTTTTGCTTTCTTTTAACACACTCTCAAATGTTGTAACTTAGAACCTCAGGGGCCGTAGAAATTACTGTAAATTCATGTGAAAGGCATGGGACATAAATGCATGGATCTGCAAGGACAGAACCTGCTTATTTTGTAGCAGCAATGTGAAGCACTGTGGTGCTGGGAACAGAAAAATAAGAAATGCTGAAGAGATCATAAAATGTTGAGGGTCAGCAATGCAAAGGGTCAAAGGGGTTGATGATGGGAAATGGCAGGACTGATACAGTCATACAGGCTAAACTATTGTACATGGCACACAAAACTTCTGATTTTATGCAGAATGTATAATGTAAAAGTAATGATTTATGGCGAATAAGCTGTCCTGGTGTAAGGTAATTAGTCATTAGAATATAATGAGGCTCACAGTCCCTTTGCTCTGGGGTTAGTTACCTCAACACACTGCTTACCACTAATGTGAGTGCATTCTTGTAGACAAAATCCATTCATTTTATAAACTGGATAAACAATCAGCTGACAACCATCTGTCTATTTTTTTAGTGAAAAGAACAGTTTTCCTGTAAGTCTCCTAAAAATCCACTTTCATCATGTTGTTGTACACTTAATTTTTCTAAACGTCTGGCTTACAGTTTTAAAGTAGTCTTTTTCTGAATATTTTTTCTGGTTTATTGTCAGTTCCTACTGTGTGTCATATTGTTCCATTTCCAGTATTAATTCAAGATCAGTTGTAATTTTAATGAGGTATTTGCAATAACACATGCTACATCTTCTTGCAGCTTTAAATCTGCTTTGTTTCTGGAAAAAGTGGGTTTGAAAGAGGGGCAAAGTGTCATAATTAAAGACTGTATTTTAATTCTTAAGAGAGCAACATGGTTTCTTTGATGCTGACATGGTTATTTTAATGTAATAAATCAGAGTGTCTCTTGACTGTGCAGTGTTGGACTGGAGTGGAAAAGTTTACCTCACATTTATTAACTTATTTAGACTGATTGGGGCAGATAGATGTTACTTATTTAGGTGTCTATATATTAGCCAGTCAATGTAGGCTCTCATCATAAATCTTTGCAGAGAAATAGCATTTCTACAACACGATCCATCCCTTCCTAAGGTGCACAACTAGATGGCAGAGATAACTGCCCTATACAGGTGCATGTTGCTTTGTGTTGACTGTGAAGGGGGTTTGGGGTGACCAGCTCGGATGCACACATCGAAGTTGGGTGAAATGAAGTAAGAACACTTGAAAACTTTGATGATATTGTGTAACATTAGGAGAAAATTGACCTACCTTCCTTATGGAGCCAGACTTCTTGATCTCACTTTGATCCTCAGTTGTGCATGTTTATGCTCCTGGGAGAATTCAGAATCCACATGAGTGCATTAATTTTACAGACTACATGGTAAGGAACCTGAAAGGTCTAAGGAAGTGGAGTCCTGTACTTTGATGAAGGAGATGGCATTTTAAAAACTTGCTTTAAATATACAGATATGTTGTGATATTTTTCAGGGTGGAGATCTAGACTTCAAAATTCAAGAGTACAAAGATTCTGGGAAGACATTCACTCAAAGTCAAGTAATAGACTGGTTTATACAGTTGTTACTCGGAGTCAACTATATGCATGAAAGGTACAGTCATTTAATATTGAGACCATTTAGCTTGGGAGGGGAATGAGTAAACTTACTGACTAGTTGCAGATACTCAAACAAAAATGAAACCATGTGAATTGTCTTGTATTGGTATATAGTTCTACTCACCAAACTGTTTTACTTAGTATATGTCATATATCTCGATTGTAACTAATTATCTATCCTGCAAGAACATTGTGCATTATATCTTTTAGCAGCACAGTGCTAGGTGTCTTTTAGCGTTAGACACACTTTTCCTGAGAGCCAAATGAAAAACGTATCACAACAGGAAGAGTGCAATATTGTTTGAAGGAAATGGATTAAAAGTTTAAAACAAAGTCAAATTTTTGGAGGGGACTCAACAAGGATGTCTTGCAGATACCTAATGTGAAGAATCCAAGATATATGCTTGATGGACTCCCAGTAAAATCAGTGAAGTTACATACATACCTTCTTTGAAAACAGACATCACTTTGAACAGAACATCAAAGATTAACTTAAAAAAAATTCTGCAGGTGATCCAGATATGTGGAGATCACACATGGTTTGAGTAGGACCAGTGTATGTACGTGAATACCTGCCTGATCATATCCATGAGTGCAGTTCTTGCCTGTGATGTGATTTAGGCAGGCTGACCTGAGTGATCTATGCAGTTCCCCTGTTGCCAGTGTGCTGGACATCTGTGTGAGCCCTGTCTGATCCCCTTTCTGCATCACCCGGTGCTGTCACATTTTCAGGGCTTGGGCGAAATTTGCTCAGCTGAACTTGAGTTGCAGCAGAGCAGTAGGTAGGAGAGAAAGTCACCTGTCATCAAAACCACCCATTTCTGAGTTGAACTGAAGTTAAGTGCGTGGGATGTGTTTGACCTAAAATGATGGATACTTAATGAGTTTTTGCACCTACATGTCAGACTGTAGAGAGAAAAGGGCAGAGTGAATTGCTGTCCAGGATGCAAGAGCATTTGTGTTCCTACATGCCAGTTTATCTAGGGCTTGTACATGAAGTGCCTCCCAACAGACTGCAGTGATGGGAACACAGTGAGGAGAGCTTTCTTGCAGTGCAGTGCTCTCCAGCACTCACCACAGGCTGACAGGATGGGGCAAAATGGAAATAAAAACCTGACAATTTAACTAAACTATGAGTGTGGGGATTTTCTTTCTCAAACTCCAATTTAACAACTTACCATTAAAAGTTTTGGTACTTTGTAAAGTCCAGTTCTGATGAAATCCTTCCTTTAGTGTATGTGTTTAGAAGATGCATTGTGCAGACTAATGCAGAGACATTGCACTTGGTCTAGATGATCACTGTTTCCAACTAAACTATTCTATTGTATGGGTTATTCTTTTTGTCTTTTATTTTCTGTATTCATGCCTCTTTTATCTCTTGTTTTCACACATGTCCCTTTTGTCTGCTCTTCTCTTTATGTTACTCACTTGTTCTCAAAAAAATTTTTAAAACCAAATAAAATCTTAAAAATAAACTTTCTTCAGTAAATATGTATATTAGATTATTTGGTTTCCTGAAAAGTAGGTTAGTTCTCCAGTGGAAGCAGCAATTTGATTTTCTGAACAGCATTTAATTTTCTCCATTTGAAACATAGCTATTTAATAGTACCTCTCCAGACACTTACAAATGACTTCACAGTTTTAGTTTTATTTATATGTATTTGTTTGTATAATGTGTTATTTGAGTATGCATATTAAAAATTTAGGTTTTCTTCTTATTAGTTTAGAGCCAAACAATAGCTTAAATTGGAAAGGCTTAAAAGAATTTTGAACTACTTACAGAAATTAATTTGAAATACTAAAACATAATAACAGTCCTGTTTCTGTATAGAGAAGTCATACATGATTTCTTCTTTACTGATATAGAAAAAAGCTGTAATATATGTTTGAATTATGTCCTAATGCAAAGAAAACTTTTCCCTGGAACAAGAAGCTTGAAAGGTTTGTAACCTGTGGGTTGGGACTTCCTCATGCCATTCCTTAGCAAACCCAGCTGCTGTGGATGGGTGTTTTTATTTCAGAGCAGCAAAAATTGTTATTTCTGGTTTTAAACATAAACTATATTCACTTGGTTGTCCTTCTTGTACAGCTTTAGTTGAACTTCCTTGCTTTTTGAAAACTCTTATGCTGAAAACTTACTTTAAACCAGGACTTTTTGACTACCTCAGGTTTTTTGTTTTCTTTTCCTGTGATAGTAAAGATTATGCAGGTTAGACATTCCTGTCTTTTACTTACACTTCATGAATTCCAAAAACTGACGTAAATATCTTGTGGACATTGCGCTATGTACTGGCTATTTTGCATTATTGGAAAGATTTTTTAATTTGCAACCTGAAAGCTGACTTACCTAGAATTAAACAGATTCAGTCTTCATCTGTGTTTGATATAACCAGAGAGAGAAGTAAGGGAGAGACAACATAGTTCAGTGGTCTTATCTAGATGGAGACAGCACGAAACCATCGTGGTCTCTGTGGCACACATATAGGGCATCACACGTCAAGTGCACAAAATTAATCCCACAGCAATGAGGCTATGAGGCCATTGATTAATTTAATCTCAATTTGAATAAATCTGACCATTATGTTTTCCATCGCTTTGCCAATCTTTATGAAGGATTTATGAACACAAAGATTTTTAAAAGGTTGCCGTTTATGTAAACAGCAGATAGTACAGCATTTAGGCTTACCCAGAACCTCTTATTGCTCTACATAGTTCTTCAAATAGAGGAAAGAGAAACTAATTACTGAGTATTTCACAGCAGTAAACTATTGTGAAAGCTTCCATCAGATTCACTTGTTGCTGGTTATGTTGTAGACAAAGCTTTATTCAAGGGTGCTGCACGCTGCTCAGTGCTTTGTCCTGTTGGTTTATGACTAAGAGACAGCAAGCAGGTACTCTATTGAACATAGATATATTTACAGTCCAATTTAGAAACTGTCCTAAAGTGTCAATTTCTACCCAAAACAATCAGTCAATAACTACTTCACTGTCTGTCAAGTTTTACTGGAGCCCATTTAATTCATGTTACCTTTATAAGTCTGTCTTTTGCTGCAATAAAGAAGTTGCACTCTTTCTTAAAAAGGATTTACAGAGCAGGCTCAATATTTTTTTCTTCCTAGAATTAAAATAGTTTCGGTTAAGGTTTCATCTTGTAACTTGTTTATGTTCTGATACATCATGGCAGAATATGGTGGCTTGCACTGAGAGACATCATCATGGAAAACTCCAAAGACTCACCCCAAGTATTTCTTTGTCATATTAATATGTGAAAACATCTTATAATTATTGGTAATACAAGTAATGTTCATCATAATAAGAATTTTCATCAATACATCACAAGATTATATCAACATTACATCTTAATTCAAGCTAATATGACCCAAACATCTTCTTTTCATCTCCTTTTCAAACAGTGTGCTACCAAAAGCTTTCTGGGTATTTATATTTAAAGGTACCTGTTAGTAAAATAACAGATATTCAGAAAATGTTTAGGTTCAAAAATTCCATGGTTATATTTCTAGAAAGTAGTAGTAATAGAAAAGGTTAAACCCCACCAATGCTCAATAACAATATGCAAGAAAACATATGAAAGACAAGTTCTTTCAAAGGCTCTGTGTGATAAATGGTAAGGAAAGGCTTTATGAATCTAAATTAACACAGCAAGATTTCTGTAAAACTGTGCATGTGTGTTTATATATATATATACTTACAAAAGAATAATAAATACCATCTTAATATACTTATTGATGTAATGTATGATGAGTGTATGTGTATTGCTCAAGAGAGCTGTCAAATAGAAAGCAAATAATTTATAAACATCGGTGGAGACACACTGAATAAGATTTTTATTTTTTGCAGTGTGCTAACCTTTCTCTACAGGCATTGCTTTCAGGACACAAAATTGAAAGAAAAAAAATTGAAGGAAAAATTGCTATAGGAAGCCTAAGAACTCTTTACTTAGACTCATTAAAAAAATATATATTTCTTTTTCATGCCCAGTCTATGTACATACTGCAATGGCTTCTAGTAATTTTTTCATGGTTTTTTTTTTCCATTTGTGAACTGAATTTAATATTTTTTTCTCTTCTTGCAGAAATTATTTTCAAGTGAGTTGTGGACTTAGTTGTGTATTGAAATTGTTCTTCAGAATACATATTTTTTATTCTTAATATAGAAACTCTTTTGAAAATAATTTCATTGTGCCAATGCATAAGATTTTAATAGTTCAGTCAAATTTGAGATAATCCTTGAGGATTGCTCAGGAAAAATGAAAATCGGTTACTATATTTGTTTTTCCTGCCCCCATCTCAAGAATCTCAGACATGAGTTGCTTCCTTTACATGATCTAAATGGCTGAATGAGTACTGTATTTGTATTAGCAAATACAGTTTCTGTAGCCAGTATGTATCAAATGCCATTCTAACCTCCTTCTGAGCAGAGCTGATAATTAATCCTCTGTGTTAGCAGTCATTTTAAAAGTGGATGGACTCTAGTTTAGTTGAAGTTATAGGGAACAGTGCTTTTGGAAGCATTATTGACAAGAATTAGTTGAGAACATGTTCTGTAGAGGTGTTCTGTTTTCCTAAGGGGCTGCAGAATTACTGTCACACATGTAAGATTTCTAGAAATGGAGAAGATTCTGTATATCCTTAAATGCTGTGTAGCTTATCATATTGTTTCAGGCTTTGATGGAAAAATAAGTCTGCAAAAGCTAATTGTTATTTTCCTTTTCATCCCTGTCTTTACTGTAAAGTTCTTTTGTCTTCCACACTGTTACTGTAAAAATTGAATGACTAGCCTAGTCTGTATACATATTTATCTTTCAAGTAATACTTTTTTCCGAAGGAGAGTTCCCTGAGCCTTGGGAATCTCTTACTGCTGTTTTTCTCATCACTTATTCTCTTGTGAGACATCTCATTCTCCTGGCAGAAAATAAGATGTAATGCTTTTAAGACAAGTCAGATAGGAAGACTTGCCTTTCTGCCTTCCTCTGCAGCTCATGCTAAGTCTGTATCTGTATTCTTAAGCTGGGATCCCCGGGTACATTTTTATTATCCTGGCTGCTCAGGCTCTCATCCTGCATGTGGGTACCTGTGAATGCACCTCTGTGTTTATATGAAGCTCCTTAATGCCATCTTCTGTGCATTGTCACTTGCGGAATTAGCAGTGGTGGGCTAGCCTTTCGAAGAAGTTGAATACTAGAAATACTTAATACATGACTGTGAATGCTTCCAGTTGGATGAGGTTGAATTTCCCTTTTGTGTTCCAGACGGATACTTCACAGGGATTTGAAAGCGAAGAATATATTTTTGAAAGATAATCTTCTTAAAATTGGTGAGATTTCCATACTTTTTAAAGATATATTTTTGGTATGATGGAACACTCAAGCAGATGTTTTGTCAATAAGGAGATTTTAAAAAATCGTGTCTGAAATAACATTTTGATTTGTGGTCAAACATTTCTTAGACAATCAGACACAGGAGAGGCAGTGAAATTTCTAGCCTTGAAGGGACTTCAAGGTTGGCTGGACCTGGACCTGAACAGCCTCATGAAACTTGCTTGCAGCCAGGGATTTGATGTGGGTGGCCTTGTGAGGCCTCTTTAAACCCACGTAGTTCTGTGATGTTATGCTTTTGTGGTGTTTTTATTTTGAGGAATTACAGAAAATCAGTTTTCCCATTGTTTTAGATACTGCCAGGTTTTTTTTTTTTTTTGATGTACAGTCATTTCTAACAATAAACAAAAAAAGTTTATATCATATAGATTTATATTAATAAATTATTGGTTTTGCTTATATTTTTAGGAGACTTTGGAGTTTCTTGTCTTTTGATGGGTTCATGTGATCTGGCAACCACATTTACTGGGACACTACACTACATGAGTCCAGAAGTAGTGAAGCACCAGGGATATAACACAAAATCTGATATTTGGTAAGTAGTCAGCTGTTTTAGTTTGATTAGGTATTTATTTTCTAGGTCAACATTTGATGTTATTTAGGAATTACTCTTTTTTTCTTTTTTAAAGACTCTTTCAGTAGGGTGCTTACACTACTCCACTAAAACTATTTCGGGACATTTGAATCATATGTTGCCAATCTGAAGCCTTGCCCTTGATGTTAAGAAGCATGTAGTTTGCTGTTATTCTGGGTTGTCTGGGACTTTAAAGAAGAGCAAGTGTCGGGTCCAGTCTCTGACATGGTGCAGGATGATTGTAGACCAAGCTCAGGTTTTGCTAGGAAGGGGGAAATCTCTTTTTTTCTCACATTGAGATAGATGAATTGAAAGAAGCAACTTTCTGTGAAACTTCTAAGTGGATGAGCAAAGAGTGACTCCTGGCTGAGAGGATAGCAGAAGGACCTTCTTAGGAACTGAACTGAAAAATATTGGCAAATGTTAAAAGGAAGAAAGCACTTGGTAGTGGAGTTGAAAATGAGAATAACTGTGGTGTTAGAACGGAAGCAAAAAAGCACTCTGTTTTAGGAAAGGTTCAAAAGTAGAAAGAAAAGCGTCAGCGCTGCACTTAGCTGGCACAAATTCTTGAGATCAGGACTTCTGAAGTGATGATTAAAGAATGAAGTTGAGAAGCCAAGATATTTTGAAAGACTTTAGGAAACTTTTAGGTGTGCAGGCACTCTTGCAAGCCAAGATGAAAAATGACTTTTTTTTTGAATGGGGAAAATAATTCAACTTGTCTATATTTGTGTCCTAAAACATCTCATGTTTTAAGACTCTAGTTAAAGCTATTGTGTTTTTTTTTATTCTGTCATAGTATTTTTATATGTAAGGGGCTTTGTTTCTTTTATGAGGTGTTTTAGTTGTCTGGTTTGGGGTTTTTTTCTGTAGGTCTGCATATCAGAAAGTTCATTTTTTTCTAAATATTTCATAGCAGGAAAATTCCTTCGTAAAACATTTGGGCACTGAAATATAATGTTTTTACTTGATAATTTACTCTAGTTTCAGCTCAGTTCTGCCTTTTCAGAGTATACTTGTGACTGCAGGATATAATTCTAAAAGTGGAGAGCAATCATCTATACTTTCAAATGATAGCAACCATTTTTCACAGCTAACACATTCAGTCCAGTCAATGGATGTGTCATGAATCTCATCTCATGGTCTGTGTAGCTGACTGCTATGGATTTGATGTCAGATTCTCTCCAGTTCATCTGTATCAAAACAAATACCAGTTAATACACGTCAATAAAAATATATTGAGAGAAGATTTCAAGAGGTGTCAAAACAAGTGAATAGACAGGGAGGCCTGCCTTTTGTGCTCTTTTAATGTAAGGAATAATTGCTTTTATTGCAGTTGAAACGGAATGTAAAATACATGTTTAAGTTCTATTTGTGGTTACTAGCGTCAATTCGTGTAAGTCATTGAAGTTGCAGAGAGTAAATGCAAGCAGAGTTTGGTCCAGTATTTTTATAAATGATTTTTATAAATTTCAAAATTTACAAAAACATAGAAAAAAAAGACACCCACCCCAAACTCAGTAGCTACTAGCTTTCTGCTGTACTTTATGCATTTTGTAATCTTTCTAAAGCATGACCAAGAGCACTTATCTGAGAGTGGAACTGCCTTCAGTAGGAGCTTCTTGGCCCTCACTGAAGGGGCATTAAGGACAAAGCACGCCTTGACTCACCAGTTCTTCAGCTTACAAACCCTTTGTTTTTCTGAGACAGGAAACTGTCTTTTCATCAGGACTCTTATAATTTCATCTTTTAATTTTTTAACAATGATTCTATTTTATTTCTTTTTTTTCATTTTCCCTATTTAACAGGGCCCAAAAGATAAAAGGTCCCTGAGCAAACAAAGGAACCCACCCTGGAGGTTCCAGATGAGATCAAGTCCTTGGGCCACTGTGCAGCAAGTTCAGTTGCTCACGGAGAATCACATACAGAATGGTTTGGGTTGGAAGGGACCGTAAAGACCATCTACTTCCAACTCCCCTGCCATGGACAGGGACACCTTCCACTAGATGAGGTTGCTCAAAGCCCCATCCAGCCTGGCCTTGAACTCTCAGATTGAAGCCATTCCTCATTGTCCTATCACTATATGCCCTTGTAAAAAGCCTCTCTCTGGCTTTCTTGCTGGCCCCCTTGTGTACTGAGAGGCTGCTCTAAGGTATCCCTGGAGCCTTCTCTTCTCCAGGCTGAACAACTGCAACTCTCTCAGCCTGTCTTGATGGGAGAGTTACTCCAGCCCTCTGGTCATCTTCATGGTCCTGCTCTGGACTTGCACCAACAGGTCTGCGTCCTTCTCATCTGGAGGGCCCGGAGCTGGATGCAGTACTCTATATGAGGTCTCACAAGAGGGAAAAATCACCTCCCTCAGCCTTCTGGCCATGCGTATTTTGATGCAGCCCAGGACACGATTGGCTTTCTGGGCTGCAAGCACACGTTGATGGACCATGTTGAGCTTCTCATCAATCAACATCCCTCAAGTCCTTCCCTTCAGAGTTGCTTTCTTTCTCTGCCCAGTCTGTTTTTGTGACCTAAGTGCAGGATCTTGAAATTTGCCTTGTTGTACTCCATAAGGTTGGCATGGGCCTACCTCTCAAGTCCATCACAGTCCCTCTGGATGGCATCCCTTACCTCCAACATGTTGATGATACCACACATCTTGTTATTGTCAAACTTGCTGAGGATACACTCAATCCCTCTGTCCATATTGCTGACAGTGATTTAAACAGTACTGTGTACTGACCCCTGAGGAATGCCAAGGAGCTGCCCAAGTCTTTTACATATACCTGATGTTCTCTCTTCAGACTTGTCATTCCAATCTCTAGCAGGATTCAAAATATTCAGAATTACAAGGGTTCTATGGTAGATGTAAGATAATGTAAAATATCTTCTGCAGAAGACAGTTGGTGCTATCTCACTATGTTATCATGATTCTCTCACTGTTCACTCCAGTTAATCATTGTTCATTGGAAAGACCTTAATTTATGTTGCATTAATGATGTGCTCTAAAGACACATTGTGCTTTTCATGTTCACTTGCATGTTCTGCAACTGGCTCTTCAAAACTGGCTTGAATATTCATAGTGCAGCAGCTGGTGTGAGAGGTATTGTCCTTTGTAACCCAAGGTCAATAGATGGGAAAAAGCTTCATGTTTTTCAGTTTTTACTTATGGAAGTTCTGCAGTTAGGTTCAGAGAAGCTGCAGCATTTTTGCTTGTCATCAGTTAAAATTTCAAGGCTGCAGTTCTTTGCTTTATGTCAAATCTAAATTCACAGCAGGCAAACATTTCCTTCTTCTTTTCAAAAATATGAACATATAAGGTAAACTTCATACAGGAACTTTTCAACAGATTTGTGCATATTGTATGTTAGAAATTATCTCAGGGGCAAAAAGTATAACAGAAATACTTGTTGAAAGACAAATTTTTTTTTCTCTTTTTTTCAAAGTAATGTCACAATTGCATGTAAATCCATTGTACATAAATTGGGCTTCCTACGTCACAGATCTTGTGACTTTGATTTTATCGTGCTTGCTTGTCTGGGTTGTCTTTTTCTTTAAAAAACAATTAACAATCTATTAACAATCCAAAAATAGCTTGTTTGTTTGATTGTTTTGCTGCCAAATTTTATGTGGATTAGTTACCAAAAACAGCAGTAAACTAGTAAAGACAGTGGCTGAGATAGTTTTGATGGTATATGAGTACACAGAATCATCTCAGGTTTGATGGAGCCCATAAGGATCATGGAGTCCAAGTCCCTGCTCCTCACAGGACTGCCAAAAACTAAATCACAGGACTAAGAGCATCATGTTCACCATGCTTTATTGCAGCTTCCTTCTGTAGATGGTGATAGAATTTGTGTCCACCCTCTATTTTCCAGCCACTCTACTGACACTGTTCAGGTAGGAGCAATGTTGAGGCTGAGGTGATGGGGCTGGGGAAGACAGCCAGTATGGGGTTCTCATTTAAGGGCTGATGAGTGAATATGAAGAAATTAAATTCAGAAACATATTCCTCGTATTCCTCTGAAGCCAACAAATTCTGAAGACCTCCTGCTATGATCAGACTGAGAGATGTAAGCCACAAAGGTATATCCATTTACACTGTTGGCTTTTGGAGCTGAATTTAAAAGTTAACTTGAATCTTACAGCCTTGGAACAGCTGTAAGACATTTTTTACAAAAAACATCAAAAGATGTTAAAAGGACAAGAATGCTTATGCTAACATTTAGCACCAAAAACCTCAGAGTGGTTTCTCCTGAGAAGGAAAAGGTTCAGGTCTGTCAGTCAAGGTTGTAGAGAACACACTGAAGCCTGTCCAGATGATCCATTTTATGATGTAATTGAGCATAAGCAGCTGCAATGTGAACCAGTCATACAACAATTTTGCTAAAGTTATGTGCTGTTTAGGAACTTTGTCAAACGTGTTTATGAATATATGGAGTCGTCAAAACCAAATGTGCTGGCTGGATGGTTTAATGACTATTTTAGAATTTTATAACACTGGCAATTATGTGGGCTGAGATTATAAAAGTAATTAAATTATATGTTTGGATCCTGTGCAGATTGCTTATGGGAATAAGGATGACATTTTCTCTTGCTCCTTACAAGGTGCTTAGACCAGAAATGTAGAAACACAGCTGAGTTTTGAGGCAAAAGCTTGGTGCAATTGCAGCTCCGCAGCTGTCCTGAGAAGAAATAAGCTTGCCCTGGGACCCAGAGCAGCATTTCTCAGCTTAGGAGATATTTATTTAATTTCAAAGATTTGTATCCTGCACTAAAAACTTTATTTCTTTTCCTTCATTTTGCTTTTTTTCCCCTCTATATTTATGTTTCATGGGACAGATGGGGTTTTCCCTGGGTAGCCTTGTTCACGGCCCTGGCTGCAACAGAATGCCCTGGGCATTCTTTTCATCCTTCTCCAAAGCCTCAGGTGTAGTCAGAGTACTAAACTAGATGAATAAATCAGCTTCCCTGATGTGGCAAATCCTATGTTCCTAATGGCTCATTAAGCAATTTTTAGCTGCCAGAATCAAGCAGCCTCCAAAACAGACTGATTCTGCAAAAAGAAGTTAT